TGTTAGACTACATCTACATTAAGAGGTCTAATTTTCCTTCTTTTCATATTAAAACAATCTGCATCTACACCAAGATGTTTTACTTGCAGTGATAAAGTAATAATCACCATGTCATCTGAAAAAAAAAAAATCATCATACATGAAAATTGTTGACAATAGTTCTGTTGTGTATTTGTCCAATGAACAATGAACAATCAGAGAAACTTAGAGGCACCTAAACTTTGAAATGAAGGCCAAAGCCACAAAAGTAGGTAATAATAATCTGTCAAACCCTCCCACCAACTGTCCTTTGCCAAATATTTGATTGGTGTAGGATTTTCAGGGCCTTTTAAAGGCTCAATTTTTCGGATGTAGTTTAAGTATATTGTTTGGCTACATGCATATAACTCAACAATGATGAATATAAATAACAGTTACCATGTGCCACAGGCAGTTAAAGCACATGATGTATCCTACTGATCCTGAAAGTCTTGTTCTTCACTCTGCTGAGAAGTACAAGCAAACAGGTTGTACACAACATACCAGTTTTAGACAATGCAACGAGTCGAGAAATTCTCACTCATGAATAACATGACGATCTGCAGCCTGAAGTTTCAAGCACAGGTATTTTTAAATTATTAATCACTTGAGTATCATGAACACCCTTTGTTGTCATTCAAAACAACAACTCTGCAACAAATGTGTACATTCATGCAGCACTTTATTTGGAAGCCGCCCACCCGCCTGCTGTGCTATTTGATAGGGGTGTAATAATTCTGCAATTGAGGCCAAAACCACAACACAAACATCCACAATCTTGTGTCGTGATACCAGAATACGCAACTGCGACCCCCACCCCTCATTTGTAAACAGCAAAAGGGAGACTGTAGCAAAGAGAAAGAACTGGACAAACAGAGACCGGGAGAGAGGCACACAAATACTCTGGAACCACTCCTTGAAGACTGCTGGGCTGTTGCCTAAAATAAGTTGGTTGAAGAGCTGAAAATCAGCGTCTGACTTTTTTAAACTGCTACGACTTGGTATTTGAGATGGTTGTTGGAATGGAGGGGTGCAGAGGTGGTAAAGGATGACTGAAACAGTGGAAAGGAAAGACATTGTGTTTTCTGATATTGCGTTTAAACAATTAACAGAGTAAGTTTCAGTTCTCTCTCATTAAATACCTAATTTTTAAAAAGAAAAAAACATTTGTTGAGACGTCAGCTTCACGAAAGTGTAAACCTTAAACAACATTAAAAGAATTTAACATTGCACAATTCCATCATTATCAGCTGCAAGCTTAAAGAATCCCACTTCAAGCACTACAGTTTAGCAGTAGCTATTATAAAGAAAATACATCAACATTTCTGACCACCAGAAAAACCCACGCTCCAGAGAACACAATCTAGGCCAGTAAACTTCCAGAGATGTTTAAGCTTGTCTAGATTCAATTTTAATAGACACACTGCATTCCACCTGTTTTTCAGATTAATCTATTCATTTAACTCAGGTTCAGTTAGGGGTAAATTAATGGACAAAATTCATATTGTAATAAGAATCACTGAATTATCTCCTCACTATGTTATGTTTGCTTTGCAGATGTGTGTGGGTCATAACATCAGCCAGTCATTTACTGAAAAGGATCTCACACCAAATATGATAACTAAGAGTATTCAAATTTGTCCAATTAAATTTTAGTCCCCTAAAACTGTCAAACTTTGTGTAGAAAGGGCAACAATTTGTGCAATTTATCTAATGTGGAAGAAAACACCCTCAAATCAAAGCTGAATGTTAGCTCTTTAACCTTCATAGTAGGGCTGTTCCAAACGATTATTCTTTAAACGATTAATCTAGCAATTATTTTTTCGATTATTCGACTAATCTAACGATTATCTTAGCAGTAATTTGCGAGTAGTGTGCGAGCCTTTTTTGCCGCGTGTTGCTCCACACGCTCCGTTGTACTGCTGATAGACGCCGCCATGTTGTTCGAATAGATTACACAGACGCAAATCATTCACGTAGTCAATGACTTCAATTACGTCACCATGTTGTCCCAGCCCTTGCGCTGCGCTTGTATCCGGGTAAACCAAAGACGATTGATATAAACGGTCCCATTAGAAAGTTCCGGTTTTGTTCTATGAACATTTACCCTGTGTGGTTTTAAAATTCCACGTCGAATAATCGTCCCAGCCCTACTTCATAGTCAGTAACACACACCAACAAAAATGTGTAACTGGACAAATACTGTATGTTAGAAAAAGCAATGGGCTGAATCCATTGTTAATGGACTGTCTATTGATTCAGAGACTTTGTTTTTCATCTGGCCGGTTATATCTGAATGTCTGTGATCATTGTGCTTTACTTTAGCTTTAATTTGAAAAGGTGACTTTGCTTTCTATGATACAGTTACAGAAATTACTGTGACTTGAAAGTTGGTCCTAGTGGCAGGTTTTATCCCTATCTCTCACACATTCCTCTTCTCTCAATTGCAATATAATATTATGGTTGGTCTACTAGGACTGTCCCATTTTCAAACTAGAATTTCTGCCTCAGATTTGTATGCCTCTGCCAACCAGACACATACACTCAGCACATATTGTCAGTGAGGTAAGTTAGCAGTTAGTGAAAGTTAAACCATTACGAGACAGTGGTGCTGTGAAACAAGAGGATTTATTCACCACGAGTGGGAAACCGGCCACTTCCAGCCGCTATTTGAACAAACTACCGGCTCTCCAGCTCATGCACCAATGCTAACAGGCTAACTGGCTAGCTTGCCAACTAACTTTTAGCTAGCTGTTTTTACACTATCTCAGTGTAAATAATAAATTAAAATATTAACTCAGGAATCAGCATAGTGATTAAATAATAGTTTAAAAAAGAATTGCAATACTTAACAGGGTTTTTCCTGCATAGAGAATTGCAAGGCGGCCGCCTTCATCAAATTTCGTGCCGCCTCCCAACAAAATTCTAGTACTTTTTTTCTCAGTACTCGGTGGATTTAACGTTTGTAACTGCAATTAATTAACGGCAATGTATTGGCGCTGTATCGTAACCTGTGCATCAGGCAGAGCCATCTGAAATTGCCAAAGAAGAAGAATACGAACGCACTGGATTTTCTGCGGAAGGAGGCAGCGACCTGATTTTGCTGCTCTTCAAACAGGTGAATAGGGTTGCCACTCGTCCCGTATAATACAGGATAGTCCCGTAGTTAAAAATAAGATGCTGCATCCTGTATTGAATCAATACAGGACACCTCCCCCTCCCGACAAAATTGTAGTACTTGTTTTCTCCATACTCTGTGGATTTGAATCAATACGGGACACAATTTGTCCAGTATTTTTGTTCATGTTATGTCCAGCAGCAAACTGGATTATCTTATCCATGATTTTTACATCTATAGTGTAGATTCCAAAACATTCTACTGATCAATGCACTTCATCAGTAGAATGTTTTTTATGCAAAAGGCAGAATTTAGACGCAGAAGGAGTACATACAAAGTTATGGACAGGTTATGAGATGAAGGACCCAAAGGCATTAATGTCTATGACGCACACCTGCTTACTGTACTAAGACCCCGGTCTGGACAGAGTAGTGATGAACCACATATTGATCTGTGACAATAGTTTGTTACAAAAGAAATGTGTTCATTATTCCACAACAGAGGACTTGTGTCTAGCCCCTTTTACACAGCCTATTCAAGGCAAGAATGTTGCGCCTTTAATCCACCTCACTGTATAAAAAGTACAAAGACAGAATAGAGGGCATTGTTGTTCCAGCAATAAGCAGAGGTAGTCACAGATGTGGATCAATGTCTCTGTAAAAGGGAAATCTGGCATGCTGGGACAGACATCAACGCTGATGTGTTACACATCACACCTAATTCCTGAACACCGGCATGCTTTCTAAAATCATACAATGGGGCGGCATTATCCCAGCTATGTTGGTTTCAGTGTAAACAAGCAAAAGTGGCATAATGTGATAGTGCTGTCCCTCACTTGTAAGTCATTTTGGATAAAAATGTCTGCCAAATGAGTAAATGTTGTGTAATGTAATGATTAGGGGTCTTCTTTACAGCAATATGGAAGGTTCTCTGTTTAAAAGGGACATTTGATAGTTGCATGAGAAAAAAAAGGAGAGGCTTTCCATAATTCTCCACCACTCCCCTCTGTTCTTTCCACCACATTCCTATCCTCCATTATACCTCCACCAGCAGTTATGTAACTACCACCCTGGATGTACACAGACACAAAAAGACAGACAGTACAAGGAAGAGAGAGAGATAGTAGAGGGGCATGCTGTTGGGTCAAAAAGGGGCATTTTTCTCCAAAAATAATCACATACACTTTCCCCCTGATGTGCTAACCTGAATCTCTGATTTCTGCCTTCATCACAAGTGATTTCACTGGTAAGACAATGGATAACTAGGTATGAAGTGACCATACCAAACAAATTAATGCAAAGCCACTTAAACTCGTTTAAGTAAGCCTTTCTACCTATGTCCCAACCATGTATGGGTTTCTAGGTTATTTTGGGAAGGGTCTGAATAATAAAATCTTCAAGATGGCAGCTGTACCTGACACTCCTTCACAGACTGAACATGTTAAGGCTTGAAAAGTTCCACCTCAGCGTACAAGTTTCACAGTGTTACAGCTGACTCACCAGCAGCGTGCATGGTCATGATTCATAAACAAGACGGTAGTAGCCTATTAGCTTTAGACACAAGAGCAAATCACCAACCACTAGGCCAAACTAGCTATGTACCCATTTACATTACAAAATCAATACAGTGTGTTTGAGGTGCTTGGTAATTATTTGTTAACTTAAATGATGCAGTTTCTTGTTGCCTAAGTTTCCGCAATAATCTAGAAAATTAAAGGATTTAGGGCATAAATTAGTTGAAGGACTGGAACAGTTAGCCAAGCAAGCTAACAAAGCTCAATCCCATCAGCTGCCATAATTATCTCGACATGGTAGAAGGTCCATTTTAGCTCACTTTCACTACTCTTTGCTGTGTTTGTACTTACACAACGCTTCTCGAAATCATCCAGGACACCATGTTGTCTCTGAGAGTCGGGCTGTGTCAGCGGTAGAAAACAGTCCCGGTGATAACGTTAATGGCTAGCCGTATCGCTGTGAACTTCTTAAGCCAAAACTTCGATGAGCGAATCCGGGAGCAGCTAGCTATTTCACTGAATATCAGCCAAACCTCATGTCTGAAAAACACCAGATCTCACTATTCTGTCTTTGTAGCCATAGCTAAGTGACCAAATATATCCAATATGACCCCCGTTGTTTTGTATCCGTCACTTATTCCCTCTGGTTTCCTCCTTCCTTCTCTGCTTTGCGATCCAGTTCCTGGCACCAGAACGGTGCTCAGTGAGCTACTGACGTCAACAGGAAAAGAACAACCTCCCGAACCTCCTATTGGCCAGTTCAGTCTGTTTACAACGGACACGAACTGTATTTTTTTCACGTGACTTTTGCGTTTAGTAAAAGCGGTGGAATTTCAAACTCAGCGAACTAAGCTCTGATTGGTTTGTCGTCGAATCGTGGCGAATTCTAGCCAATAGGTGAGGGAAGCAATGAGTCGGCTCAGTGGATTTTCTAAGTGTTGTTGGGAAAGCATGTTTCTTAATTAAAATGGAAGGTGACCGTGTTTTATATTTCAGTACTAGTATGGACACAGACATGTCTATGTCTATGTTTTTATTGCATGTTACTCAAAGGAAATTTTAATAAACACTTGTATGATGGACCAACGGAATATGAATTAAAACAAACACCATCTTCCATGACCATTTTTGGACAAGGCACCTTGTCAGGTAATTAGTGTACATCAGGGTAGATGAAGTAAGCCTGTCCCTCCCATTTTTATCCTGAAGAATACAGGTTCACAGAGCTTCATATATCCAAATTAGCAAATCACATGTTCATGAATTTTCTCAGTCCAGGGCTGAAGTTCTAAAACAAGTTTTTCAAAATGTGCATGGTGCAAGGTTTGTTAAAGCATATTCACTTTTAACTACTTATGATGCATTTCTTACACAGTTACACCTGTACGGAACCCTGGACTTAGTTTGCAACACTCTCTGTATTGTAGTTATCTGTATTACTGTATTCTGCATGCAATATAATATTTTATAGTCAAAATCTGTATATATTTGTAATATTTTATGACAAGTCTTACACACACATACACCGGGAAACTGTACTGAAATGACAGCAAAATACTGTGAGAGGATATGGTTGAGAAAGAAATTATTTTATTATATTATAGTGTGTGCATTTTAGGTAAGAGACTTTGGCAAAGACAACTGACTGGATAGTTTGTTGTGTGGCCCGCCTTTGTCTTGCTCATTACCTAAACCACACCAGTCTTTAGGATGTAATCATATTCATTACAGTTTTCCATACATAGGACTTGGCAGGCACACAGCCCATCTGTGAGCTTTAACAGGCCTGTCTCTTTTTGTGTGCATGAGCTTTTGTGTGTGCAGATATTGATATCTGAGCACAAATGTGTGTGAGCTTGTATGTGTGCAGCTATGAGCTTGTGCCTTTATAAATATATATATATGTATATTATATATTTGTACATGTTTTTGACCACATGCAGATATACGTGTGTTTTGTGCATGAGTATGTGTGTGCATGGAGGAGGAGGGGGGTTGAATTCATGGCTACTTGTTATTCATGAAGGCGGCTGTTGCGGTGTGCAGCAGTGTGAGGTAGATTCCCAGTGGAGCTCTCTGGTCACACAGCCTGTCTGGGACAGGATCACAGCTGAACAGAAAATACCCCCACACCAAGATTCAGCTGTTCACTGCTAACCTCACAATGTTCTATGATCTCACAAACAGCTGCAAAATCTAGCCTGAAACACACACATTAGCAAATAAACTGCAGAGCATAGAGAAAATCAGCCACAGGTAAAAACCAAGTTACATTAGGTTTTTCATAATTTCTGCAAAAGAGAAATATTTTTGCAATACATATAGGATTCCATTATACACATACAATGTAATATTAACATAACAGTCAACACTAGGTTATATCAAAAGATATATCATACAGCCCAATCACAGATTATTGTAGTTCATGGTGTATGCATTTTTTGATGCTTCTGATTCAGGACTTTGCTTTGTGAGTGCATTGCAGTGTTTTGTTTAGCATTTCCCTTCTATATTACAGTATTTTAAATTAAGGCTGTAGTGATTTATTGCATGTTATACATCCCAAAAATCCCTGCCAAGCCCTTTAACGGTCTCATGCAATACATGGTATGACACACAGTGATTTGAGGCAATAAGATGCTGCCTAGTAAAAAAACCCAATAACATACCTGTTATTCACTCACACTTTGTCTCGTAACATTCATATTAGCTATTCTGTGAATGGTGGAAATGCCAGTTTTATATGGCAGGGATCTCCATTTGATCTTTTGTCCCTTTTTTATATAAAACCAGTTACTTAAAGCATGGTTCCACACTATCTTAAGCAAACACTTCATCCACCCATAACTGTGCTAAACAGGAGTTTCAAAGCTTTCTACAAGAAAATATTTAACCCTTTCAGCTCTCTGTATATCCACTGATTTTAATTTTGGTGGAAACATTGTTAAAATGATTTTTTATGGTATAATCATTGGTTTATTGAAAGATGAGACAAGGCCAGTGAAGTCGGTCTTGTGTATATGCTGCTTTCAGCCTATTCACAGTCTTCAAGTCAGATTGAGGGAGGAGATTTATCATTTCTTCTCTTATTAAGAGAGAATGCGTCTTGTATTATAGTGAAAATTTTCACCTTACTCTATTTTTACCAATTTAACCACCAGACCACTTTTCCGTCTTTGTTTTTTCTCAGCAAGCAGCCAAAGTACTGACTGTACAGATGTTAACTGGCAAAGCACAATTTATTCAGTCAAGTTTTCAGCTTGTGCAGACATGTGTAATTGCCCCAGTTTGAGCCACAAGTTTACATCATGCTTATATTTAATTGGGCTGCCAAAAATTTGTTTTACATTCAGTCTTAAGCATCACCAGAACGTAACTCGCTCCAAAACAACAAGCTGTCATCTTTACATTTCTGTTGGTGCACGGACTGCTGCTGCCTGCTGCCCACAAGTCTCTCTTTAAGAAATAACTAACGCCAACTAAACCACAGCAACTGATTTTTACATTTCTACACCTGTTCAATAAAAATGATGCAATATATAAATGAGACAAGAAATATGTTAGTTTCACTTCTTTATACTTACCACACTGCTTTTCCTTTCAATTGTTTCATATTTGTATTCCACCACTGTGACAAACCTCTGCTCTATGTTTTTCTTTTTCTTCTTCCTCTTTTTCTTGCCTCTTTCCTCTTTTGTCTCATGCAACCTAAGTGTGGCTGATATCTCAGGATCTTTCCCCTTTTCTTTCAGTTTCTCCACTCTTATTCCTCTGTCATTCCATCTCCATCTTTCTTTCTCCTCTCATTTATCCCACCCAGGAGGTTGCTCCTGGCTGATTGCTTTCTACATGCTTTACACACAAACCTCTACACTGTCCTTAAGATCCTCCCACTCTGTGTACACACACACACACACACACACGCACACACACACACACACACACCTTCTCTCTCTTGTTCTCCTTCAGTTCCTCTGCCTTATTATTCTCTCGTTCACTGATTCTCTCTTTGTCTTGCTCCTTTACAGCCCAGGAGGCCTCAGTGGAAGACAATGCAAACTGGTAAATCCATTTTGAAAAAAGATCAAACATGTCAGTTGTATTTAAAACTCTGAATGAAATATTCATGCAATAGGGCAAGACAAAAGAGGTGTAAAATCATGAATGAAATGATGAGTAAATCCATTAAGCTCTGATGGTAGCCTGATGGCTACCATGGTCAAAGTCTACTGGAACCTATTCTAACTCCATGTTGATCATTTTTTAAATGCAGGTAAAACAGTTGTTTATATTTGATTGTATTTTTGCTTCCATTCAATGCAATCATTGGTTTCCATTCATTTCAGTGTGATATAAAAATCTATAAGACTTGCGTGCAGCTTGCTGGAGTTGTGTAATCCACCACAGTGAACATCAAGTCTGCATTAATGTTGAGTCAGTTCCATTATCACTGTACTTTAATTCAGTTTAAGCGCAGATTGATTTGAAAGGTCTGCACAGCTTTATCTCACGACAAAGGTATAAAATAAATGCAGACTTGAAGTTCAGTGTGGTGGATTTAGAGCTGCAATGATTTGTTTATTAATTCATGAGTCAATTGACAGGAAATTAATGATAACCAATAATTTAAATCAGGGCGGCACAGTGGTTAGCACTGTCGCCTCACAGCAAGAGTGTTCTGGGTTCTAACCCTTTCCGTGTGGAGTTTGGATGATGTGCCTGCGTGGATTCTCTCTGGGTGCTCCGGCTTCCTCTCAAAGACATGCACATTAGGTTAACTGGCGACTCTTAAGTTCCTATAGGTGTGAATGTGTGAGTGACTGGTTGTTTGTCCCTGTGATAGACTGGCAACCTGTCCAGGGTGTAGCCCACCCTCACCCCAATGTCAGGTGGGATTGGCTCCAGCCCCCTGTGACCCTACCAGGATAAGCGGTATGTAATGGATGGATAACTGAAATAAACTTTTAACCTAAAATGCCAATAATTCGAGGGTCCCAGCATCTCAAACGTCAGGATTTTCTGCTTTTTCTGAAACAACCTTCAACCAAGAAAAAAGACTCAAATTCTGTAATCAAACAGGAGACCAAGTGAGAGTTCAAAAAATCAAAGTCTTTACTTCAAAGCCAGAGGTCATACATGAGAAGTCAGTCTGTGTAGAAAACAATAGAGGCAAGGAGCAGTCAAAAGGAAAAAAGTTGGACCAGGAAAAAAAGAAAAAAAATTCATACATGTTTACTCAATAATGACCACACACAGCTGGAAAGGGAACTAACTGATAGATAGCGTGAAGACAATGTGGCAGTAGCAGTGACAGTGTAGTGATTTATTGCATGTTATACATCCCAAAAAGCCCTGCCAAGCTCTTTGATTCATTCTTTGACTCAATTCATGGTATGACACACAGTGATTTGAGGCAATAAGATGCTGCCTAGAAAAAAAAAACCCAATAACATACCTGTTATTCACTCACACTTTGTCTCGTAACATTCATATTAGCTATTCTGTGAATGGTGGAAATGCCAGTTTTATATGGCAGGGATCTCCATTTGATCTTTTGTCCCTTTTTTATATAAAACCAGTTACTTAAAGCATGGTTCCACACTATCTTAAGCAAACACTTCATCTACCCATAACTACGCTAAACAGGAGCTTCCAAGCTTTCTACAAGAAAATATTTAACCCTTTCAGCTCTCTGTATATCCACTGATTTTAATTTTGGTGGAAACATTGTTGAAATGATTTTTTTTTCTTCAAATCAGATTGAGGGAGGAGATTTCTCTTATTAAGAGAGAATGCGTCTTGTATTAAGGTGAAAATTTTCACTTCACTCTATTTTTACCAATTTAACCACCAGACCACTTTTCCGTCTTTGTTTTTTCTCAGCAAGCAGCCAAAGTACTGACTGTACAGATGTTAACTGGCAAAGCACAATTTATTCAGTCAAGTTTTGGTGGAAAGTACAAAGACAATGTGGCAGCTGAAAGGGGGAGAGACTGGACTATATAGAGGACTAAGCATGGCTGACGAGACACAGGTGACACAGAAAACTGGCGGGAAACAGCACAAAGACAGGAAGTAAAACAACCAGAAAAACCATAAGGTAAGTGATTTCAAAATAAAACAGGAAATAGCTAGAAAGAGTCCAAGTGGGGTGTCACACTAAAGTGGTTGAACCGGTAATTGTAGGCACAGGTATAGTCAATAGATGACCTAATACAGTTTATTTTCATTTATTCATTCATTTTATTTGTTTGGTTGTTTTCTAGGAGCCAAACACATAAACATTATTACATACAGATAAGAAGTAACTGATGTAATGTATATCCCCTGCATCTAGCATCTCTTTTCTCTGTTTAGACATTTAAATCGAGGTTAAAACATCCAAACAAATAACTTGATTAAAAAGGAATAAGCATAAAAACAGATAAAACCAACTGTGTATGTGTAAATGCATGTATCTGTCTGTGTATGCTCTGTACATAACTGTATTATTGTACCTACAGTATGTAATAGTGCGTAATAGTGTATAATATGTATGACTTTAAGTATGAATACAGTATTGACAAGTGAATCATACAATCCAATCAAAGTTATGTTTCCTGTTGTTTATGCTACTATTTCAGAATCTAAGTTCTGATTGTGTATTATCAGCATAAAGACCATATAGATAGATAGATAGATAGATAGATAATTGTACCTACAGTATGTAATAGTGCGTAATAGTGTATAATATGTATGACTTTAAGTATGAATACAGTATTGACAAGTGAATCATACAATCCAATCAAAGTTATGTTTCCTGTTGTTTATGCTACTATTTCAGAATCTAAGTTCTGATTGTGTATTATCAGCATAAAGACCATATAGATAGATAGATAGATAGATAGATAGATAGATAGATAGATAGATAGATAGATAGATAGATAGATAGATAGATAGATAGATAGATAGATAGATAGATAGATAATTTATTTATCCCCTAGGGGAAATTCATGTGTCCATTATCTAATTGTTGATCATCATCATAACAATAATAATAATAATAATATTAATAATAATATACATTATAACCGTTGATGATAAATAAACAATAATAATTAGATTAGTCCACTGCCTTTGGCTGAGGTGTTGTATAGCCTGATGGCAGTGGAAACAAAGGATCTCCTGAACTTCTTTGTTCTGCAGCGCAGTGACATGAGATGTTTGCTGCAGCTGTAGCTGCTTCTCTGTCCTGCCAGAATGTTATATATATATATACCTATACCTTTAAGGTTTGTTTATATAATGTCATTATAGGCTTGATTGCTGATTGTGACACCTGGCCCCAGATGATCACACAGAAGAATCATTAACACATCTGTTAAGAGTGTAAACATGTTTATTTCTGCTGTAAAGTTGGACAACATGAGAGTCTATGGGGATTGGATTACTGATGGAGCCAAACTCTAGGGGTAATTGGAACTACAGTTTTTCACTTCTATGATGGCTTCAATTTTCAGCCCCAGAGGTTGCCACTTGTGGATTAATCAATTAAACAGTCAAAGAAATTCAATTGGCATCAGGAGAACAAGCTCACTGAGCTTGTGGAGACTGCAGCTGTCACACTAGATGGGCACTCACAGAGAACAGACCTCCGCTAAGGGCAATGTCAAACAACATACACAGACTTCAGAGAAAAAAAATCCAAATTCATATATAATCATCTGGATCTGTCCCAGAATTGAATGGGTTCTTCCCTAGCCCATGTCCCATTCATCCACCAAGTTTGGTGCAAATTGATTCAGTACGTTTTGCATAGTCCAGCTTATAAGAGCTACTTTCATTTCATTTCATTCACAAACAGCCCTGTGTGCATTAATGCTGTGAGTTTCAGCTGGTTGTTGCAAGTTTTGGGGCACCAGGGGCATTTGACTGAGTTCATGCCCCCCAAAAGAACCCTTTTGTGTTGTTAATCCAGAGGGCGTACTCACCTGGATGCAATCTATGCTGTGTGCTTCTGCATCGTTACTATTGTCTTTGATAAATGCAGGAAATGTCACTGTGCCAAAAGGCAAAGAAACCTTACTAACCTTTGATCATTTCAACAGTCCTCACCCACATGTGCCATGTTCTCTGTTGGGTTGTGGAACTGCCAGTCTGCAGTTAACGAAGGTGATTTCATTCCTGCCTATGTTGTCTTTGACAGAGACCTAAGGGCAGATAGCGCTGCAGTCTTCGGTGCTTATCTTGCTGGACCTATCAGCAGCCTTTGACATGGTGAACCACCACATCCTGTTATCTCTACTCTCTAGTAATGGTAAAGCATGTTCTTGGTTTGAATCCTATGTCACTGAACGTTCTTTCAGTGTTTCATGGCAAGGACAAATGTCCACATTCCATCATCTCTCAGCATGTGTGTCCCAGGGCTCTGTGTTGAGGTCTCTTCTCTTTGTCTTCGGTTTGTTTATCTACTTGCATAGCTTCTCACCTGTCATTCCCACCACAGTCTAGGCGCGGATCTCAGCTTGTCTCTCAGATATATCCACATGAATGAAGGAACGACACCTTCAACTTAACCACTCTAAGACTGAACTCTTAGTCATGAAATCAGTCTCTCTATCACAAGTTTGTGAGAAACCTGTGCATCATGTTTGATAACCACCTATCCTTCTCTGACCATGTTGCATCTTTCTCAACAACATAACAAAAATCAGGCCTTACCTGACTCAATACACTACCCAACTCTTGCTACAGGCCATGGTTATCTCTCACCTCCACTACTGCAATGCTCTTTTAGTGGGTCCCCCTTCATGCACAGTGAAACCCTTATAGATGGTCCAGAATCCGGCACAAGTCTGATCACATGTCATTTAATGCTTATTCCAAGGTCCCTTACTGTACTGAAGCTTTAGTGTTGTTCCTCACTTGTAAGTTGCTTTGGATAAAACCATCTGCCAAATCAGTAAATGTAAACATAAATGTAAATTTTGGTTAATTGATCAATTGTTTAAGTAAGTTCTCAAATGTGAATATTAACTTTGTTTCTTTAGTTTCTGTGATAGAGACAAACAAAAAGCAATCTGAATATGTAAATATGGGATTAATGTAATAATGATGGGTGTTTTTCACTTTGTTCTGATATTGTATTCACTAAGCAATCAATGATTATTAAATAAATAATTATAATTAAATAACTGTCAGATGTATTTATGAAAATCATTCTTGCAGCCTTACATTACTTATATGATGGAATAGTACTACCTTGCCTATGGTTTCTGTGTGTTAACTACTTTACACACACAATGAAAGAAAAAACTTTACAATAAATGAAATTAGGCTATACTAAAAAATGTTGGTCTTAGGTCCCTAAACCACCCAGACTCCAAGATAGAAGATGAAGAACCTGACATTGCTAGTTGATATTGGACTTCAGTGGTTCAAATTTCTGCCAAATTGTTATTAATCATAGTATGCAGACCTAAATAATAAGAAGTAAAGTTGTTACTTGTTGGGCTTTTGGGCAGTTTCACACATTGCTATGCTGGTAATCGAGTCCTAATAATAACGGCCACATTTATAAACCTGACTTTAATATCTTAAAGCCTGTTACTATAGACTACATGGATACTGCTGTTGTTGTGTATAATAGTAGCTGTGGTACCAACAGTGGCACTAGAACGAACAATAGTAGTAGTGCTATTGCAGTTGTAATACCGGTAGAAGTTGTCAACACTTAGTGTTAACAGCAGTCGTGGTAGCTCTACAAGCACGAGCAGTTGTAGTCGATGCTTGGCGAAACTAGTACGGATGGGGTTTAATTGAGCGGAGGGACACAGTCGTGCTACGGTCGTGTGAATGCCATGGGATCCAGCGGAGAAACACAAGTTATGGATGGCGGCGGTGATGCGGTCCAGTGTTCCACCGTTTTTTCAAGCGGAGAGAAAAGAGACTGACGCTCGAGCGGGTGGAGACTGCTACACATTTAAATCCCCCGGGTCGGTTTTTCAGCTTATAGCGACAAATAACTTTTCCTTTTTGATTTTCTTTCTACCGTTGGATTCTTGGATTCGTAAATGACAGGTCTGTAAGGGCGTCGTTGTTGGGAAGTTTTTTCGAGGGGGGGTTTGGACCAGCAAAGGGCCATGGCAGTCGAGGCTCGGCCGGAGCTGGTCGGGAAGCGGTTCCTCTGTGTCAGCGGGGACAAGCCGCCTGAAATCGGCGACATCGGTCGGTGGCCGTGGAGGTCCGGGGTCATACGAGCCGTCAACCACCGTGACAGCGACAATCCCGACCTGACGGTAAGGAAAACGCCGACTTTGTGCTCCTCTTTACTCTGTTACATGCAAAGCAAATGGGGAAATCTCTGCGGTTGGTGGCTAGCCAGCGAGGCAATGTTGTAGGCTTGCCAGGCGGAAATTATTGTGTGGATATGTGTTAGTTATTACGGCTCATTGGACCAGTGAGTACACCGCTTATATTTATCATTATTTTTCACCAGAACGTTTGTCTTTGTTCTTGAGTGTACAAGTTGGACCAGTTATTGGGGCACTTAAGCAAGTTGGGAGGCGGACTACCAGCAGGGGGTTATGGAAAGCAAACACTAAGCGTTGGTCCAGACAACACACCGCTTATTTACATCAAAATCCCTAAACCTGTCTCATTCATAAATCATTTACTGTGATGAAGAGACGAATCACCATGTCTTCACATTTATTACATGCCAATAATGGTTAAACACAGTTGGCTCCATGTAGGTACACTGTCTTCAACACAGTGCATAACGTGAAGCGTCAATTTCACATTAATCAATCTGCTGACAGAGACACCTGGAATTTGAGCAGATATTGTGTTGTTTGTCTGAGACAGGTTGCATTTGTAAAAGCATGTGTAGGAATTCGAGTCCCGAGCGGCTAAATGCTTTAATCTGCTGTATACTGTAAATCAGCTGACAGAGGTGAGGTTGGCTTCCTAGATTTACCCCGTGTTACAGCCTTTACGTTAGACTAATCCCCGTTACCTCGTGGTTATTGGCTACAATCTGCGTTGTTTGTGCTTGTTGATCGACCGTGAAGCCCGTCTGCCTGTGTCAGGCGGACAACAACCCCTCCGTCTTGGACAAGGACGCAGGAATGCTAGGACTTGTAAAAACATAGAACTGGCTGGCTGCAGGCTGAACAATGGGCAATTTATCATGTAAAATATTGTCTGCAATTTCAAGACAGCTCAGTGTTGTCACTGTTAGAGCTTTCAGGAGCAGATATATTTTCAGCATGATGTGTAATTATTGCGTTCTTAATACAGACAGGCAGTGATGGATGGAAATCTTGGCAATATATTAGTCTGATTTATTTTACCCCTCCTTGAAAAAAAAGAACAAAAAGAGAGGTATTTTTCAGTGGGTTAACATGTAAAAACCAGCAAACAGTGAAATATTTGCCATGACAAGCCATTGGCTGGCTGATACACTGCACTCTCATTGTACAGTGCCTGTTCCCCGGTTTTCTTTTGTTCACAGAATCCTTCTATCTGCCTATGCAGATAACTGGCCAAACCCAAGCACAGGTCTGATTTAATTATCTAGCGTGTTGTCTTTGTACATATGTGCCATTTCTTGAGGACAGTAAGTCATCAGATATGATATTATCATCTAATGATCATAGGTCTTTGGTAGGGTTGTTCTTCAATTTGAGAGACATCTGTTAGTTCAGTATTTTTGTGTTTATCAGATGTAATTTAAAGAATAAAATTAGCATACAGCATACCAGCATACAAGTCAGTGGTCCTCACATGTCATTGACTACTTGTGGTGCTTTCTATGGGATTAGTCAGTGGTGAATTCCTGGTGTCACACGTTCATGGCTTTCTGTTATTCTCTCTTTAAATCAAGCATTTACATCAAGTCCTGTATGTTTTTGACAGGAATAGTGAGGTGGCATAATTCCATGGATCGATTATAATGTCATAGCTGAACACCTCTCACTTGTAATTGCATGTTCCCTCATCTACACATCTTATTTCATGTTTCACACAACAAACATGCTTTCACCCTCCTATTACGCTTGGTTATTGTGTGTGATATAATTTAGGCAATGAGTAGTGTTCTGGTTTAATTCCATACAGTGGGGCACAGTCTCATTAGCAAGGGGCTTAACTAGCTGAGTGAATACAGTCGAGAAGGATTGGAGATTAGATTAGAAGAAGTGTGTCAAGCCAAGCTGTCAGGCCTTTGTCAAGTGTCTGTGGTCAGATCTGCCAGTAGTACAGGAGTATAGTGGGTTAGCAATGGCTCACCAAAACTTATTGGTCCATAGCTATATGTCTTAGTGGGAGAATAATGCAATTTACACTGGTCAATAAATATGACTATAAACTGATTATGGAGATTAATCTGAAATTCCCTCCCACCAAGCATCAAATGTCTAAAATCACCATGGTTTAATCATCACTCTGATTGGAAGCATTTTATGACAATAACATTTATTTTCTTGGATATATGCAGTCAGCCCACAACACTGTTCTCAAACAGCTAATAATTATAATATAGAGCTGATACAGTCAATCAGTTAATTAGTAGATCAAAAGAAAGTTAATCAGCAACTGCTTTTCCTTGTCTTAACTTGTGAACTAGTGAACTAAATATTTTTGGGGTGTGAAGATATCACTGGGGGCTCATGCTTCATTAGACAGCATATGTGTATTTGAGACATATTTTGAGATTTGCCTCTGTGTAATATAAAGCTCACTTATATTTCATGATGTGCAGCAGAACTGGAAATTAAGCACTGATGTGAGTCAGTACACAAGATGGGAATAATTACACAGGGCCTGATTCTACACACATTATGCAATCACTGTACATGGTGGCATTTTACTACTCTTTGTGCAGTAATCCAAGGTTAGCAGTCCTAGTATATATTGTAGTTCAGAGTTATATACAATGATAATTTACCATGCTAATGGACCACATGAACCACAGATAACAGCAGACAGTAACAGGGATGCTGCTGCTGGGCTGCTCAAGTGTCGTAACCCTTATGACAGAATAATGTGTAATTACGTACTATGACATCTCTATACAACATTATTAGTAAAACTATGATAACTGTGCCTGGCAGACATTTGTTTAGCTAAATGGTTGTGGGTACTGTTGGCAGCTGTGGCAAATACTGATGATGATGATTATTATTGTTATTATCATTATTATTATTTAAAGATCTTTAATGGTGTATTTGTGGTTAGCGTGGCCCAGTAATAGACATCTGGTCTAGCAGGGGATTAGACCATTTTGGCTGGCTTAGATCTGATGTGGGCTATACAATGAAAATGAGGACAAGCAAATATTAGAATTACTGATGCATTTTGCTGAATTGGTTTAGAGCCAGTTTTCTGTATAGGATATATGAGAGCAGTAATAGCAATGAATTTAATATGGAGTCATTGTAGTGATAACTGTAGGCTGCCCAGCTGTTAGTGCATATGTTATTTATTCTTTTGGGATATTCCTTCTGCTTTGTAGCAGGCCATAAAAGCACAGCTTCATAGTCTAACCCTTAGTTCACATTATGCAATGGGATCATAACTAATTAGTAAATCTGATAAAATGTATGTGATATGATGAAACAGCGGGTTGAGGCATAGTCTGGGTATTTATTAATGATACTGAACTATTGGTGTAACGGCACAGGGCAGTCTAGTTTTGTTTACTGTATATCTGAGCTAAATGTTAGTACTAATATCTGTTGTGGTCATGCAGTTGCTTACAATCCATTTGAGGTCCCATTGTCTGAGTACTTTCCACCTGATGAACCTGATAATACTTTTAATTAGCTTGGCTCTTGAGGAAGAGGAATACATTTCTCTTTTTCGTCATTGAATTAAAAGAAGTCCTTAAGTATTAAGATACACAACTCCATTAATGGCATTGTAAATTATTTTCCAGTAAACCCACTTTTGATGCTGCAGGGATAGAGACTGAAACAGAAAACAGAAAAATACATGACAGAGGAGTTCAAATAGCAGCGATAGAGTCTGATAAATAAAAATGAAAGAGAGAGAGAGAGAGAGCTGAGAATCTGTGACATACAGAATGAAATACAGAAGAATCTAAACAGCATTGTTATTCCCTTGCAGACACTTAGTTTTTGGTGGGACTTAAGGGACACTGATGCAAGCTAAAAGAAAAAGCTCAGCAGCAGAACCCTACGCTGGCATATTAGGCATAAAACTGCCGCACTCATCTGGATTCACAATGAATGGAAAGAGCGGGGCAACCAGGTCACTGCCTATAGGAGCCTTTGTTTTCCATTACAGTCCACTGTGTGTGTGTGTGTATGTTTACAGTAGCACTGCTGCTAGTTTGTTTTTGGGGCTGTGGCCTGAAGTTCATCTCCATGTGGCTAATCAGCAGAAAATGACAGGCTGTGACCAGGGAAGAACCTTCCACATACACAGTCTCTGCATGGTTGTTGCAGTGCTGCAGTTCAGCTAGCTTAGAAACATTTCTAAGCTGCGTGTGAGTATGTGTTGGCTCTTGAATAGCAGCATTGTTTAGAGTGGAAACACATACTAGAGACGCAGAGAATAAACATGGCCTGGAGAGAATCTTTAGCCTTCTAATGTCGATGCTAGAGTCGTGCCTGCACACATATATGCTATGATATGAATTTGGCTTTACCCTTTGATTTTTGACTATTTTGAATGCCGTTCAGTGCATTGTATATATTACAGTTTGCACTTGTGAAAATGGTAACTCTTCCCTTTTCTGGGTTTAATTCGCACAGTACTAAATTATCAAGGAACATTACCTTGTAATTAGACATTGTCTATTTTAGATATTATCATTTACCTGCATAACATTGTGATGATATGATCTTTTCATTTTTTTCTCAGCAGGCTGTAGTAACAAAATTACTCAAAAATATATCACATGTGTAACAGTCATGGAAAACAGATCAGACCAGTTATTTTAATATTTGATTTTTGTATTCACTTGGCATATTGTGATATATAGATATCAGAAAATGTCATTAATAGCTTGATAATAAGTTCAACTATATTTCCCAGTCTTATATTAAGCAATTGAATGAACTAAAACTAATAGCCTATAATATACAGCATGTACTCCTCCACTACAGGCATGTGGCAGGGTATATTGTAATGTTGTGATTTAGGGTTCACAATAGTCACAGTTAAGAAACCTCAGTGAATGAAATGGAAACACTTGTAACACATACTTAGAGGTACAAAGAAGGATAATGACTGATATTACGCTCCCCGTATATGAGAATGTGGTGGTTTA